TATTCACAACAAAGTGCCTATTGACATTTCAAAAGTATGATAAAATATCTCCACAACAAAAGATTATGCACATTCAAAACATGGAATTGTAGAGGAACACACAAGGTACCGTGCACAGCATCATGCGTGAGATATTACTTAAACTACTCACACAACCACAGGAACAGCTTGAACCTCTCTGACTATAACACTTGCTGTTTTGATTTGCTGCAGAGTTAATCCAGTCAGGAAACAGAAATAATGCCACATGACTCGTGTAACTAACTGACCAGTGCAGCTGAAAATACCGATTGAATGCATTAACTGAAATTTCATAGCATTACAAAAAAGAAAAAAAAAAAAAAAAAAAAAAAAAAAAGAGGGGAGAAAAAAAAAAAGTCAAACTGTCAAACTGAAATTAACTGTTGAATTTAGAAGAAAATCTGTGATTTTTTCTTCAGTTATTCATTCATCACTAGTAACAAGTTTTGTCACAACTGCAGAGATAAACGTGGCACCGTCATCACAATGTTTAAACTAGTCTCAGGACACAAATGACTCAGCTGCAGTTCAAAGAGCCTCTCGTTTCTGTCAGACTAAGGCCAATAACATTTCACACAGGCTTTCTCATGTGAGAAATGTTAAGATACACTCAACTGAGTCATTGTGGGAAGTTCTCTGAATATCAACTCAGTGCTCAGCAGCAATCAAATAAAAATTATACTGTTGTTAAGAAAGTGTAGGAAATGTTATTAGGATACATTTTTAGCTTGAACACTCTTCTTGGCCCCTTCTCAGAGATATTTCAAAGCACGAGAGCAGTAAGGACTCATGGAGCGCAGTATGGACAAGCATCCATACAGAGACTAAATAAATTTTAATCTGGGGACCTGGCATTTGGAAAAGTGTAATTGAAAAGGGTTCTGCAGCTATACCTACGAGAGGAAGAAGTGACTGGAGGAGGAACTTGCCACTGCAGGAGAGCTGGGGGCTGCCTCCAGTACAGCGAGGCATGGGTAAGGTATATGCCAGAAGGATTCTTTCTACACAGCTTTTTTCCCACTTTTTTTTCTGTGGAAGTTTCTGCCACTGAATGTTTTGGAAGACAAAGCCTAGGTGGAAAAAAGGGCAATCAGGGACTAGGAAACACAACAAACCTAACGCAACCTACAGCTCAGGACCTCCCTAAAGCACTGATGACCAGAGCTCGGAGAAGGGAGGGGATACAAGCTGTATGCATGCATCATCACTATGTTTCTTGCTCATATTCCCTTGGTGTCCATTGTTAAAAGCAAGATAGTGAATTAAAAGACCTTCTGCTCTGACCACTGTGACTTTCCTTCAGTGCTTATGAAAGGCTTAAGGAGAAAATGCTGTTGCTTGGAGATGTCCTACTACACCTCAGGACAGAACAGCTTAGCACTAGGCCCTGATCATCCAGACACTCGCACGCAAGTGACTTCACACGTATAAGTAGCCCCATTAAATTCCCCAGGACTGCTCAAGTGCATAAAATTAGGCATGTGCAAAAGTGCTTCCAGGTGCAGGGACTTAGAAGGCACTTACTGCGGCCCCAGTTCAGCAAAGTACTTAAGCATGTGCTTAAGCCCCTGCAGAAGAAATTTGGTGTGTTTGGCTGAGCAGGCATGGCCTTGTGGCCGTGCTAAACCAGTGATTTACAAACATATAGAGCACAAGCAATAAAATCACAGGATATTTGTTTAAACTCTGATTAAATAAACCAGCGACAGGGCACAGCGTATGGCTTACATGTTGCAGGTGCTGGTTTTTGAACTCCAATGACATGATGAGAGAAGAGTCAAAATTCTTCTAATACAGACATCTATTTCTGATCTTTGCTTTCACTGGTCTCCCTAATTGGGCAGAAATTATTTGTGGGCATCAAGTTATCATAGTCATGATTGTATGCAGCTAAGGTTTTCCTTTCTAAAATCTCTACCAGATCAATAGGATTAGGTGAGACTGTCATCTGAGTACTCTGATAAACAACAAGAAAAACTTTAAAAACTCGCTGACTGTAGAGCGGAGACACTTAAAACAGAATGTAGTGTTTAGCCCCAGGCCTTGGCAATGATTGAAACAAAATGTTTTGAAACAAAGCAAATTGGCATTTTGCTGACTTTTAATGTACTGTCTTTCCAAGCAAGACACCTGGTTCAACTACACAAAACATCTATTCAGAATTACAGTCTGAGCTTTTGTTATGCAAAAGGTAAATGAGGGCAACATGAACTCTGTGAGAGAGTCAGGTTTGGTGTTGGTTTTTTTTTGTGTTTTTTTTTTTTTTTTTCCTTTTTCCCTAGGGTAATCTGTCAAGAAGATACCGGTTGCTGACAGGAAACCAAGAGTCTTTTGAGGATGCATTGATCTTTTTTTTTTTTTTTTTTTTTTTTTGCACTGGGGAGGGTTGGGGGGGGGGGGGAAGTACCAAGTCCAGTGAAATGCACTGGCTGTATTAAGCAAAAGAAACGTTCCCATAATTGAATATCAAAGTTTATAATAATGATGCTCGTGTGTATGTGTGGGCATGTGTGCATCCATGCAGGGCATGCAGGTATATAAGAAAAGGGATTTGGGTATATGAGAAGCTGGAAAGGCACATGTCACAGCACTGGTGATATGTTACTTTAACTCTGATGCTCTCTGAGACATTTCCTTAGATCCCTCCCACATGGGGAGGGATTATGTTTTTATGTTTCCTTGGATGTCTGCTGGCTTGGGATTTTTGTGAGTTCAAATCATTCAAACCTGATGGATCATCAAATTTATAAACCATAACGATGGACCTAATCGGAGTAACTGAGACTGAAACCCCATTTTTGATATTAAATGCATGGGAGGGCATGAAATCAATAAAATCCTTGCCTGTTCATTCAGGGCACCTTTTCATCTTGAATTTCATTTTGAAGGGCACAGTATGTCATATCTCACTCGTGCTGATCAGAAGCCCAAAAAGCTTGACCAGTTTGAATCCACACTCCTCAAGTTCCTCAGACTTTCAGGCAATAGAAAAGCAGTTTGATGCCCTCTGGCAAATAAAGCAGGGTGATTTTTTAAACAAAATGATAACATTGAAAAACAAACAAACAAACAACAACAACAAACAAACAAACACAGAAACAAAACACTACCTTCACCCAAAAAACCTTATGTTTGGTCATCATATCTCACACCTCTAAACAAAATGCACATGGACCTCCACAGCTGATGCAGCCCTTATTCCAGGCCTTTTGGAGGTATCAGGAAAGGCAACAGTTGGGTGGATGCACCATGTTGCACTGCAGTGGGTTGATCACTGATGTAAGTGGAGTTCTCTTTGCTGCTCAAGGACAGAGACTCCCATTGACCAAAAGCTAGAAAAAAACTTTGCTTGGGAATGTTTCAACAGAAAACATTTTGCTAGGACTGCTGAATCAAAACCCTCTCAAAAAAAGACTTGGCTTAGAAAATTTTCCCTCCTTGAGAAAGGTATTGAAAAAATTAGGAGTTGTCTAAACGTCTCCCTTTGTACTTTCAAAGGAAAATTCTGGGTGGGGGGGAAGGGAGGTTCTCTTTAAAAGCACTTTTCATTTTGTAATATAAATAAAGCAACATTTTAAAAAGCTAAAAACAAAATGAAAAAAAAAAAAAAGTTTGAAAGTCATTAAATGAAACTTGCTTTGTTTTTGTTTTTAATTCAAAAAGATACTTGGTATTTTAACTATTTGTCCTGACTTCAATGGTGTTTTTATTTTTTTTTTCTCCTGATTCAAGACAGTAATATTCAAAATCTTAACAATTTCCCATGGGACAGAAAAAAATATGTTCTACCTAGCTCTACTAAAAATCACAGTAACAAAAAGACAATCCTGGCTTTTATGTCTGGACACGTTTTTTAGGTATGGGGAGCACGAAGCGGGTAAACACTGCTGTTTGGCGGATGCTTCAGGAAAATCAGATCTGCTCTGAAGCATATGGGTGGCAGATTCACCAGGCTGCAGGATGACAGGTCACGTGGCTTCTGTGATTTGGTCCTCTGTCTTAAAAGGTCTTATTTCAGTAGTATACAGAGGGCAATTTTGCTACACCCTTCAAATGGTTATTAATTAAGTCTGTTGCAAAGTGCTCCCATAGCAAAGTGGCAATGCCACATTTCCAACAAGGTGGGGACAGAGGGATGGCAGTAGGTAGCTCAGGCATCAAAATGGGGTTTCCAGCCCCAGCCTGGCTGTCCCAACAACTGCCAGCACCTGGCAGCCCTCAGCATCTATCCCCCAGCCCTTTCTTCCCAAAGCTCTTCTGACTCCATTCCTGGTTCAGGGGTGCCCATGCTTCCCAAGCCATTCTTCTGCTTCACAGAACCACAGTTACAGAGTGGCTGGGGCTGGAAGGGACCTCTGGAAGTCACCTGGTCCAACGCCCTGTTCAAGCAGGGACATTTAGAGATGCTTGCCCGGGACCACATCCAGATGGCTTTTGAGTATCTCCAAAGTTACATCAAATCTTGTGTATGGGACTCCACTATCCCACTGCAGCAGAACCTCCAGCCCTGTGGAGCTTTCCTGTCTCAGAGCCACTCCAGCTTCCCTTCCCACTGGTGCCTCCACCCATCCCAAACTCCTACCTCGTGGCTCCAGCACCTTCTCCTGCCCCCCCTACTCCCAATCCCTCTCCCCCAGGACCTCAGGTCCACTTGTATGAGGACCTACCTCCCTTGCTCCAAGCTCTCCCCCTCCCTGAAGTCTCTCCCATCTCCCATCTGTCCTCAAATGCAGCAGATGATTAAAATTAATATAATTAATCCCATTCTCCTTGTGCTAACCAAGACAAGTGCAGGCACTAATTCATGCTCCTGTCTCCCTGATGTAATGCTTGCTCTTGGCCCCCAGCCCACATCCCTTCCACTGTAGGGCTTTTCTCCTTTTGGCCCCTCTCCCCAAGCCATGGCCCCACCAGAGACCCTTGGGACTGCCGTTGTGTGTAGGGCTCGGCTCTGCCCCACAAACCGCAGGCTGCTGGCCATCCCGGGACTGCCTCAGCCAGCCAAACCTGCCTCCTCGCCTCCTCGTGGAGCCAACACGGCCGCCTGGGCTCCTGGCAGCAATTCTCCAAATCCAGACAGGAGCTGCAGCTAGCACTCCACCTGGATCGAGCCTGGAGGGAAGAAAAAGCGGACACGTCTGGGAAAAAGGAGCATTATGGTAATTCTGCAACAGGCACCCAGACTTTTAGGATGGGAGCCGATTCTCTAAAGGCTTGAAAGGGAACGAGGAGCCCAACATCCACGGGCAATGGCAAGTGCAAACACAGCAAGCAGAGGGTTAGGCTAGCCCCATTCTGCCCGGTCAGATCCAGATCTCACACCAGATGGATGCTGTCCAAGACAACAAATTACAGTGTAGTCTTTGCTCTGACTCACGGCCCTGGGCTGGCCGTGGCCATGCCTGCAGGGGTAACAGGTTCCTCAGGGCGGGTGTGGAAACACAGTGCTTCTCCAGAGCACCCTCATGAGAAGCAGGTGGGGTAAGAGGTGTGAGAGACCAAAGGCTGCATCCTCAGCCCTCCCTTGGGACCTCCTTCCTCTCAGCTGTGATAACATACCAGAACCAGCATCGTGCAGGCATCGGGCCCACAAGCTCTGACACAAGCATCCCTGAGACTTGCCAAGAACTCCACCAAGGGCATGCATTCAAAAGACAAGAGAAAATGAAACAAAATCAAGACCAAGGGAGACTGAAATGCTCTGAATGCTAACAAATGAGTAAGAAACATTGTTTCTCTCACCAAAACTGAGTAAATGGGTGAAATCAGGCTATGGTTGAGTGAGCGATGTCAAGGATGCCAGGTACACTTGTCATACAGGGGACCACCAGAAACCTGTGACCACGGTGGCCATCTCCTCTGGTGTCTGGCAGGGCCATGGACCCCATCACAAGGGACAAGGGTGGACATGGAGAGCTGGGTCACGCGCCGGAGCCGCGCTGCATGCATGCCTGGGGCATACCATCTCAGACCTTTGGGCTGGGTTTATTGTTTGGCAGAACAGAGGTGATAATATCTGCCTCACAGGGGAGTTGCGAGGCTTATTAACGCTGCGCCTAGTGCTTTGAGATCCACAGAGTGAAAGTCCTTTATGACTATTTTATTGTTATTGTAGGGAGATCAAAGTAGCAGCTCTAATCTAATGCCATCCCTTTTATGTTCATACCACCCACTTGTGTGCAGAAGTCAGCCCGGCTGTGGAGCGTCTCCTCTGCCTGCTGGCCTTCCAAGGCGGCAAGCGGTTGTTTGTCGGGGAGGTTTTCCAGGGTAACTGGCTGCTAGTCAGTCAGGGCTTGAACCTTGTAAAAGAGTGAGGGCAGACACCAAATTGCATCACAGCTTAGCGGGGCTGGAAGTAAACCGTTTAGCTCCGTATTTTCTCGAGTTTAGAAGATACATGTTGCTGGCCAAAAATGTGTGGTACCAAGCCCGTGTTCTATTTGAAGGCATTTTATCTGATTGGTGTTCAGTCTTTGGTCCTTTTGCTATGCAGAGGGGGTGTTCTTGTAGGCACAGATGTATATACAGACATATATATATATGTTTGGAAGTCACAGAACAGCAGAAAGCAAATGTGTGGCTCATGGATTTTCCTCATCCTCTTTGAAGGAGCTAGTGTCAGAATCTGATCTAATCCCAAAGAGATTTTTCTTTTCCTGTAAGGGAAAGCTACTGCTGGGAATCTCGATTTATTAAGTGTATGTACTTGTTTCTTCTTGGACATCAATTTCACAAAGTGCCTGAATGTGTCAAGTGTACACAAAGGTTCTAGGATGTCAAAGGGTGACAGTAAGTGCTCTGTTGACAGGAGACTGTGTGGTCCAATTATTACTGAAAAAGAAAGAAAAAAAAAAAAAAACGTATGCAATTTCATGTCCAAACCTGAATGAAAAGGAGGAAAAACATGAGCTCTATAGAATAAGTCATACTCCCATTCCTGGAGTAAGACCAAACCCCATGGCAGATATGTTTATTTTAATACTTTTATTGTGTTATATATTACTCTAAAATCTGTTCATTTGAAGTTCAGAACCAGAGGGTACAGCTCCTGTAAGCAACCTAATTCTCCACTTGTGCAGCTATTCACACCTGCCTCAGTATGAAGTATAGTGCCGTCTGGGTAATGGAGTCTTCTTCAGTAACTGAACTGAAAAGTCATAATAACAAGGATTTAAGAAAAATAGTTGTCCCATAATGGAAGTGTCTTGATTCTTGTCAAGACCCAAGGCAGTGTGTTTTATTTTGGATCAATCTCATAAGTTTCTGCTGAGCCAAAACTAAATGTTTGGGGTGGGGGTGATGTTTTCTTTCAGGTTACTTACACTTTGTAGTAAGAAACAAAGGAAAACCAAACTGTTAAAACAACAACAAAAAATCTTTTTAAATGAACATGTAAGCAAGACGAAAACTTTGGAGTCTCTCTTCAGAAGAAACAATGCATTTTGACTCTGGAAATTTCCCTCTCACTGCTTTTAACCTCATTTAAAACTAATCACTGAATTCAACTCAAATTTGTGAAGTTTCAGACTGCCCAAGCCTGTTTTTTTGAGTCATTTTTATTTTGCAGAGAAAATAAGAACATGTGTTTAAATGTTTTTTCTAAATAAAGAACTTAAATAACTTGCTCCTTCAGGATTTATCACTTATGTCCTCATCCATCAGAAAACCCAGGCCCTACTTCATGAAGTGAAAATGTTCATATATCCTGGTGACAATAAATGAGAGCCTGAAGAGTGCAGGAACATCCTGTGAAAATATGGAGGCAACCAAAATTCTCATTTTCCATTGGAAGAGTAATGGGCAGGATTTTTTCAACTGTTCATACATTTCAAACAAAAAGGTGCACAGCTGCTCGCCTGTGACCACTGGGGCACTGCAGGGCAACAGACCAGCACTAGGGCAGGTGTGAAACAAGGCATAATTGTAGCGAGAGGCTTCTCCATATGGCTTATTTCCAAACACTCATGTGCTTCCTTTTAGTGCCCCTGTCAACTACTATATCTGTGTATATTTCTCACTCATATATCTAAGTACATTTATATATATAATCTATCCTACAGTGCCAATACTCATTTTTAACACTCACCATGTCCCCTTTTTGCAAAAATAAATAAATAATAACAAAAACAAATAATCTCTACATGACTGTCAAGCCTAAGCCTTCGACCTTAAAGGATTCCTTTGGTACCTCTTTGAACTAGCATTCAACATTAGTAAATCTTGCACTAATACCCTTAATGATTCATAGCCTTTATCTGTCTCTTTAGGGTGAGATTTCCTGAAGTCCTGAGTGTTTGCTGACCTTCCCTCTGCCAGGAAGGTCTGACTTTAAAAACATGAGAGACAGGCCAACACAAACTGCTCTCAAAAACCTCACCTTCGTCTCTTTGACTGGTATCCCCACCCCATCTGAGCATCTCCTGTTATCTTCAGCAACAGCATATGCCAGCTGCAGGAAGCATAGTCCTGACTTGCACGTACAGTAAACGCTCCGAAGGAATAATATGCATCACTGACCTGATGTACGTACAGCATTTCAACAGGTCATTGGTCAGAATGACAGCAGTATTTTAAGGATTATTGTTGGAGTACGTCACAGAAATTATTCCCCTGCAGGGATGGGTGCCACTCCTATGTTATAGGTGAGAAAAAATCTTTTTTTGGTTCTTTCTGGTTTAAAAAGTCAAATAGATTTGTCAGCATGCAGTGCCCTGGGACTGCCTTATCCTTAAAAGGAGCACAAGCTCATTTTTCCTGTGGTTCAGCAATGAGGTTTGTATGTATTTGTGTGTGTGTATTTTTTTTTCCCATGGTGGCCTTTTTATGTGATAAAAATGCCTCATCATGGTAAAACACAAAACAGGACCTTCCTTAAAATCCCACCCCCTCTCCTGGGGTGTTTGCCTCATCCAGCTCTTTGGAGATCAGGGTGACTCATGTAAATTGTATCAACATAGTTCATCTTTTTTTGTTGTTGTTGAAAAAACAAAAACAAAAACAAAAACTTCATTTTCAGTGTTTGAAGAGAGAGGAAAATATTTGTGAAACAGTGTAGGGTGGCAGCAGGAAGAGGGGAGCTGGTGAAAAAGTGGCTGCCAGCTCTGCTGCAACAGACGTGAGAAGCCAACAGTGTCTTCCTCATTAAGAAATTTCAGCTTGCATCTACTTACTGCTAAATGCTCTGGGTAGCTCATGTGAGGGTGGCATTAGCAGCATGGAGACTTAGATCTGGCTCCTCTGCGAAGCAGGGCACTTCCATCACAGATGGCACCCTAGCTGAAGCACTGGGACCTTTACAAGTGTTGTCTCGATGGCTAGTCATCACCTTGCTGCCACAGCCAAACCACAGGTCCTGTCTGCAGGCTTGCTGTTGGCCAGCTCCAAAGGCAAAGTGAGCCATCAATAAGGATGTAAAGAAAGGCCTGTCCTATCCAAACAAGTGTCCTAACTGTGGGGGCAGTACTATGGAAACACTTTCTCCCTCACCGTCTTTGCAGACTTTCTGTACTTTTGATTGTGGAATCATAGAGCCATAGAACAACTTGGGTTGGAAGAGACCTTAAGGACCATCCAGTTCCAACCCCCCTGCCATGGGCAGGGACACCTCCCACCAGAGCAGGTTGCCAAAAGCCCCATTCAGCCTGGTCTTGAACACCTCCAAGGATGGGGCACCCACAGCTTCTCTGGGCAACCTGGTCCAGTGCCTCATCACCCTCTGAGTAACAAATTTCTTCATAACATCTAATCTAAATCCCCCTTCTTTTAGTTGATGAGAAATTCCCTGATGCAAGAACTTTCTGGTGAATCAGCACTTCTTGACAAAAAAAAAATAATATATATATATATATATATATATATATATATATATATATATATATGTATATATATATGTATATAATATATAATATTATATATAATATATAATATATATACATATATACATATATAACATATATAACATATAATATAACATATATAATATATATATATGTATATATATACATATATTTTATATATATATATATATATATATATATATATATATATGCTCCTGTATAGTAGGTATCCATCTTTGTCCATATGTGGTCCTGCAGGCACAGAGCTGCACCTACAGCTGCATCCCACTCCTGTCCTTCCAAGCAGTATTGTTATGTATGAGTAGGATCTCAGAGGACTTTGACCCAGTATTAGGATTTATGGCATTTGTGCAGCTCTTGAATTCATTTTTACAGAAAGAAAAGAAAATACAATTTAGGTTCCAATAAAATAATCTCTTCATGGTATTCATTTGCTCTAACTAGTGACCTTGAGAAAGACTTATCTTCATGCTTGACAGAAATCTGCCATATTAGTGACCTTGTTGCAGGGTGGGTGTCTGTGGTCCTTGCCATTCATTTACCTGATACTGATAGAAGTCCCCCAACACCTGTGGTGTTGTCCCCTGACCACATTGATAAATTCATCTCACTTGGTGATCAAGCCGTCCAAGGGAAGCTCTGTGTGTCTGTGCTCGTGTGCCTTTGTATCTATCAATCACTGAAAAACTCTTGCATTACAATAAAGATTTTTCATGCGGCACAAGTTCCTATGGAAAACAAAACAAAAACAAAAACAAGAAGATTTGCTTTCCCTCAATCCACCAGGGACAAACACTGCATGCTTTCCTCACTTTGTAGGGGACAGATAACCAGTGTACCAGTGGACTATAAGTCTCCAGCTCACCCCTTGTCCCCATGGTTTGCCTCAGCAGAGTTATTCTGCCTATGAAACTATCCCAGTTTCCCAAGATTTTCCCAAGCCCAGTTTGTACAAGTTAAATATGAAAGGCTAGTCCTCAACAGAGGAAAATCAAACTAAAGTTGGCAACAGTCACTTGAAGAGCATTTTCATCTGCATTTCTGATTTCTTGGGATGTATTGACAGGAAACTGCTTTTCAATCTTAAAGTTCCTGTGAAAGAGGAAAGCCATGCAGGGATAGTGGCAGGAAGGACTGGAGAAAGAGATGGTGGGGAATGGCTCAAATACATGTGAAAAGCCAAAACAAAACAAAAACTTAAGGACATTGTCAAAATTGATATCCCTTAATATTTCTTTTTAAATCATCCATGTCTACATTTTTCCAGAAGGAATCCCTGGAGGCTGTTAATCAAGGCTAAACTACTGCTGTGGATCAGCTGAAGTTCACACCATGTACTTCTCAGGATCATCAGCTGCTCCCATAGAGAGGCAGTGAAGAATCCTGCCCAGTACCTTCCATGGGAATGCACTGGATTTGGGTTGCTGATGGAATGCATTTAATCTGTCCTTAAAGGACCCAAAATGAGCTTTCACAATGTAGTTATGGGAAGATAGTCAGTGTGTAGTTTTTTTTTTTTTTTTTTGCCTTGTAGAGTATGACATGTTATCACCATATTTTCTATTTTACTCCAGAATAGATTTAGAAGCCCAATTTTTACTCTCCTTTATTAATTTCAGTAGCATACAATATATTTACACTAGTTGAAATACATGTGAGAATAATGTAGAATTGTATTTCTACATCAAATTAAGCAAAGGTACTAATGGGCAGGTCACATGTAATAAATATATAACAAAATTAGAGAAGTAATTAGAATCAAACCTTGAGCTGTAGCCCTGGACCCACACTACAATACCTTTCCTCACCCTCACTTTATTCCATTCAGCTTTATGATAATGAAAGAGCTGAAGTGGAAAGATCAGAGTTAAATTCTGACTTTGCCAGAACTCACAGCATCTGGTCCATCACGGATGGCTCTTTCTGTAGCAATCCACAATCATGCTGAGGATTTGCAATGTCACTGCTATTTGACTATGTGACCTATTTATTATCTCCACACATAAGTGTGCTCATTTTTTGTTAATTTAACCAATGAATGAAGTAGACCTATATCACAAAACTGAAATGACGGAAATTGCTTAGCTGGATCTAAGAAAAATGCTGGCTAGATTCCTCCCTGGGAAAACAAAATAAGGCTCTTTATTTTCAGCATCAGGTTTATCACATTCTTTTTCAGACTGACAAAACCTCCCTTACCACGTTTACAGTTCCCACATTGTGCAACAAAACTTGCTCTGACTCATCTGCACAAATCAGTCATTTTTGGATTGAGGTCTCATTTTTGCAGATCAAGTTGCAATGAAGAAACATCAGAGTCCTACAAACAGTCAACCCAGACTTTTCCCAGAAATTAGTCCTCGCAGACTGTCAGCTAGACTTGGTGCTCCTGCATTCGGCGTTTTCACACTTCTATGCATTTCTCCATGAAGTGTTTCTCTCCTTTCCTGCCAAGCCCCACCACAGGGCATGAGTAAGGACCCACCACCACCCAGCTTGCACCTGCCACCTGTCCATCCTGCCCAGTGGCTTCTAGTTCCTTTATTGGAAAAGAACCACATCCATCCGTTCCGCAATGCTTTGTGTCATCTGTCTCTTCTACACTAAAGGGTCCTGAATCCACTGGTTGTTCTTTGCACAGAGGCTGTTTGACCTTGCTTGATGACCCTTGCTGCCATCTTGCGTGTCTTTTCTTGCCCCACTATGGCCTTTTTTAAGAGGGACAGCAGGACTGCTCACAGTATTCAAGACAAGGCCACACTGAGGTTTTACACTGCATAGTAGTGACAGTGGTTTGGTGTGGTTCTTCCTTTCCCTGGGCATGGAGCTCTTATTTCCACAGCACTGTTGCCCCAGGACTCCATTCCTTGACAGTCACAAGTGACTCAGAGCACAGCACTGCATTTTTAAAGTTAGGATTTTACTTTTTATTTTTTTCCTGTGGTGTCATCACTTTATGGTGTTGAAATTCATCTGCCATTCCTACCTTCAGCTTAATTTCATTCTACGAAGTATGAGTGAGTTTCTGTATGTGAAAGGCAGAGAGAGAAGGAGAGCAGTTCAGCAGTGTTCACCATCACAATGTCTGCAAATGTCTTTAGCAATTGCCTGGTGGTCATGCATTCATAGTAGTCTAATTAATCCTTTCCATTGCCTAACATCAAATACAGACAAATGTACTACTTTCAAAGCCAGATTTTTTTTTTTTTTTTAAAGAAAACAACTTACCAATGACTGTTTGAGATCTTGGGGCAAGAAATAAACAATTAAAAGCAATTGATGCCATACCAGCTCTTTGCCTGTGAGCAAAGCAAATTATCCAGAGTACACCATTTTCTTCTGCTTTAAAAATGTGTGCACAGGGAAAAAAAAAAAATCACTATTGAAGATCATTTTGAAGTAGAGGTAAAATTTTGTTAATATTGTTGAAGTATTTTTCACCTTTCTCTTTTTTTTTTTTTTTTTGAATTTTTGAAATTTGCATTGTAAAAGTCACCATATTTCAAATTTTGAAATCCCTGTGGCCAGCAAGGAAGAAAAAGAATGCATTTTAAATTACAAGTGTCAGTTTTAGCTGGTAGTTATGTTGAAACTACAAACAAAAAGTTCTCAACATACTCAGAAAAGACGTTGGAATTAAAGTATAAAAGAATTGAAAGCAAGTTATGGTGCTCATGAGCAAAAATGGGCGAAAGTCATTGCTCACAAGGTGTTTGCTTGGTGATGGATGGACTGAAGATCAAGGCTATGAGTCACTGAAAGCAAAGGATCAGAGCTTCATCAGCAGAAGGGCAAGGAATCACAGAAACACAGAATGGGTTGGGTAGAAAGGGACTTTAAAGACCAGCTAGTTCCAGCTAGTTCCCAGCTTCCCTGGGCAGCCTGGTCCAGTTCAGTGTGTGAGGAAACTGGAGCTCCTGTTTACTGAGGGAAATGGAGAGATGCATCAAAATAATCAACCAGAAAAACATTGTATTTTCAATCCATGGCTTTGGAGATAAATGTGGGTTGTTCTCTTTTTCCCCCAACGAGATGTGTGTGACCAAGAAACTGACTCCAGTGCTCTCAGTTGTAACTCAATAAAGGATTAACAGCAATTAGAAGGGATGATAATGATGTCCCTTATAAATCAGAACTTTCCAAACTGGCACAAGTACTTGCATTGCAAAGTGAGAAAAAACAAGCAGAAAATTTCACTTCACACCAAACACGTCCGCCAGCTTTCGAAATGCTACCTTGCTGGACTCACCTCTGTTCCTGAGGAGCAAAAGGTTTTGCTAGAAAAGCCATGCTGGAGGAAGCACTTAGGGCCAGATCCTCACCCTTCCTTCCCAAAGCCAGCAAAGTGTGGCCAGCTCCACAGCAAAGCCCAGCTTTTGTATACGGGGTTGAGCACCAGGCCCTGAGAAACCAAGGTCAGTGTCATCCGGTTTTAACCGCCCCCAGTGCCTGTGAAGTGTACGCGAGGTTAACCAAAATTTACCGTAACCCGTGTGTTAAGTGTCTCCGAAGCTGGCCGCCCACACAGGAAGCTTCTTGGAGCAGGTGGTCAGCAGGGCCCTCTGGTCGCGCCGGCTCCACTCACCCTGCTTGTGGGCTGCTGACTCACTGCCCAGCTACGAGCCCCAACAAGAGGCTGTCAGATAAAATGAGAGGCAAGAAAATGAAGAGGACAAGGTGAAGGAAGCAGTGATCCCAGCCCGTGTCCTCAGTGGATGAGGAGGATGAGCAGGAAACAAGGCCCTGTTGTGCCGGGCTGTTCTCCTCCTACTTGCACCTGGAGGAAAACCATGGCAGGTCGGCAGGCAGCACCAGGCAAGGGGACAGCTGTCCTTGGTGTGCCATGCTGCTCCTCACCTGCCAACAAAAATCATCTTCTTTTGGAGCATATGCCAAGGGGATAATCCAGGCTGAAGCTGCTTGCTCCAACGTATTAAAAAAGTTGAATATTTTACTGAGTAACTGCTCCAAGATTAAAGTTGTATGAATGGTACAGAAAGTATTCCTCATGATGGTTTTGTTTGTTTGTTTGTTTTCCTTTGTTACTTTTCAGAGCTAAGAAGCCCATGACTGTGGGAGAAAACCCTACCAAACTGCCACTCATTTGTCAGCCTGAAGTTTTGTGTAAGTAGTACTTTCAAGTTACTCGGTATTATTAAAATAGATGCTTTTATTTCGGGTCCTGTTAGAAATTGCAGACGGAAGGGGAAAGGAGGAGAAGCTGGTTTGGGGTGAGAAGCCTGCAGTGGTGAGAGTGATTGTGGACTGTGATTGCCAGCCCTGAGCTTTCCATGCTCTCTCCCATGACTGTAATGCGTCCATACGACCACCAAGCATGGTGGGTCATCTAGCAGCCAAGGGGACCCCACTTGTGTCCTTAGACTGGTTCATGATCCCCTCTGGAAGGAGGGCAAACAGGAGGCTGGGGGACAGAAGCCGAGGAGGAGGTGGGTGCAGCTGCGACATGCCTTCCTCCCAGGCATGCCTCTGTGGTTGGGGCCGTTGTGTCAGCGGGGACCTTCTTCTTCTAACCCGAACGTAAGGTCTGCCATCACCCTACCAGTCCCCTGAGGGGCATGGTCAGCTCCAGCCTCGGACCATCCTTGACATTGATTTGGTTTCTGTTTTCTCTTTTGGCAGAGTTTTTCCCTTGCCACGTCTCCTGCCACTTTCTCAGCAGCACTGATTTTATTACCTCCCGTTTATTTGGCACGTAAACCCCTGCATTAATGGTGCTTTTGATTTCTGTTGAAATAGAGGAAAAAACGGTCATATTTCCTAAAAGGGAAGTTTCTGTTCAGAGAAAAGAGAAGGCATCCTGAGAGTGCATGCTGTAAACTGGGTCTGTCTAGATGACTCACCGTGGTTGCCAGCAGACATACCTGTGCAAACACACACCCTGAAGTATTATAAATTAGTCTAGTTGTCTAACACACTTGCTGAGTGCCTAATACTGCTAGCAAAATATGTCCTGGCTTTGCTAGAATGGGAGGATGTTGTCAGATCTGATCTGAAGCCAGTTTAACACAGTGAGCTTCAGATCTGGGTTTAGATGGTAACAAAACATTCCAAAATAGCTCTCATTCAGCAACGGACATCAAACTGCTGGGACAGCTCTTTTCATGCTTCAGGTGGGGTTTAAATACCTTGCAATATCAGAGTCTATATGGTCAGTTATTGATGCTGAGAGCCAGCACGCTCGTTTTACAGATTCACTGATTTTGTGTTAAAATCTATGGGCATGAACTGTAAACATCTGCCAGTGCAGCAACACAGTTTAGAGGTGTGAATTCATATGAATTTTTATACCAGGAAGATGTGTTAGCTGAACTATACCAGACATAAAAAAAAAAAAAAAGCATCCGTAGTAGGAGCTTTTCCTGCTATTAAAATCATTATTAAGAATAGTTCCCTTTCTACAGTAAAGTTTTGTTGGCAGATCAGGACCACATAATCATTTATTAAACCTAAAAATGTAGGAAGCCTAGCGCTGATCTATAGCAAGGTAGGGATACTGGGGAACCCCTTCTACAATATGTTATGTTGGTGGGGAAAAAAAAGAAAAAAAAAAAGATGTCTTTCTCTTCTCTTTTGGAAAAAGTGCTATATTTCCAAGTACTCGTATTCTGTGATTCCACTTCCTTCAACTACGCAATGCATTCTAAGTCACGAAGGTGTAATAATGCACCACTACAGAAATCTTTTTTATTTGTGCATGCTGCAATATAAAAGGAAATTTTCAAATGCTCTGTCCACATTCGCTAATCACAAGTTGCGTTGCAGCCTGTAAAACAACCATCCATGCAGTGCTTTCCAAGAATATTTTGCATGACACATTTTCAGGCAGAAGACTATTGCTCGAAAGCCTGTGTGCACCAAGCATTCAGTGGTCTTTTACATCTTGTTGGAAACTAATGTGCTTGGTTTTTATTTTCACTAACTCGAAAACCATTGCTGTGCCTGTATGCTTTTCTACAAGTAGTTGGCAGGGCTAGAAAATGGCAAACAGAAAGATTTGAGGAATACAGACTTCCACCCACATTTTAAGCCATCTGTCAGATCTTGTTTACCTGCCCATGCTCCTTTAAGCCAGTATAAATAGCTCTACTGCTTAGTGAGGCAGGCTCAGCTGTGGTTACACTTCAGTCACGAGCAGACAGAGTTTGAAGGGTTCGAAGCTGCTTTGAAGCAGTTAGCTTGCTCAGCAGAGCAATTTTGCCCACAACCATGCTAGGCTTGCAGGCGAGCTGCTTGATGCTTCTCGAGTGCACCTCAGAGTCCCAGCGAGCTGCGTGCTGCTGCAGGAGCCAGCCCCATGCTGGTACCCAGCTGAACGCCTTAATTGCCTACGAGCTTCTCTCCATCCCGCTGTAGCAGCTGGGATAAGGCTCCTCCAGCCTAATTTGGCCCCCTAACAGGGAGGCGCGTGGTTATTCCTCCCAGCTCTGGCAGCTTGTCTGCAGCCTCCTTCCAGAGGTACACGCCATCCAGGGAGCCTGGGTAATTAGCTGGGATTACAGCCCCCTCTCTACGCAACTGAAGTTAGGTGAAATGAAACCTTCCCTTCACGACTTCTGAGACTGCAGGACCTAAGTGGTTCCAGAATGGGGACCTTTCAGTTCTTGCTATATCTTTATTTCACCACAATACCCAGATTGGAAACACATTGCAGGGATTGTTTGGGGCATATGTTAGTGTCAGATCTGTTCTGTGAGTTTCTGAAATTTGGTATTCCCATGTTTGTAAGACAAGACAGCAGTTTCTGCATTAAGTTTTGGCTTTGATAGTTTGATGCTGTCTCTGAAGCAGATGGGTATTCAGTTCCATATGTCATCCAGAGCTTTGTTTTGAAAACACCAGAATGAAAAAAAAAAGGAAAAAAGAAACAACTTCAGTCAGATTTTATTCTGCATCATTGACCATCACTAAAAAGCAGAGGGACATTTAATAATTTTATGAGTGGGTTTGAACCAGACCAATATATCTTCCAGGTAAGTCTGCAGCATAAATGGGTAAAGAAATTCATTTGAAACTTTCTTATTGAAAAATGAATATTTCACAATGCTATAACCTTCCGGGGCATTTAAATTGTTTTTGCCGCATTGCTCATATCAAAGAGGAATTGAAAAGCTGCATGACTCTGGTGTATCCTATTTGAGATGACTTCATTGTAACTTTCTTACATTATAATTGAAAAACATAAAAATAGTTTTTAAAAAGGACTTCAACTACTGAAGACTTTCCTGCTTCTGAGTCACCTGGAAGAGTTCATTATCCAAAATATGTATTTTTAACTTGTTCACACCAAAATCTCTCCAGCAAATTCCGGTGACATAAAATTGTGTCTCTCCCTATTCTGTATATTTGGGGATTGCCACAGGAAGGAGAAATAATTTTGTTCTATCTTCCGCCAAAAATACATCTATGGTGTGTTATGTTCTGACTTCTGGTCCCCACAGCTCCATCCATCATTTTTGGCAGCACTTTCTCCCTGGCGCATGGTTGCGGCACCCAGCTGTGCATCCTGCCCCATTGCAAGGACAGCTGAGCTGAGGGTGAATCAGCAACACAAACACCACAGTTACAGAGAGGTGGATTAAGACAAATCCTCTCTGAATTTGCCTTTTCTGCGCTGACAGCAGGAGTCAACCCCCGAGCCTCCCAGGCACCCATGCAGCAGGAGCGACTGACAGCTGAGGACAGACGCTCATCAGATGCCTCTGGCCAAGCCTTCCTCTCTCGTTGCTTAGTCATTAGCATCGGTTAACAGAGCTGTAATTAACTTCTTTTTGCAGTGTTGTATGAGGCCTGGCAACACATTGTTCAGATTTTAACATGAGCCACAGAGCATGCTTGTAACGCAACTGTATATCGAGGGCAGCCTGAGCACCCAGCCCGATAACCGCCCTGCTCAGCTCTGGTCTCAGCAAGGAAAAGAAAGAAGCCCTTAACAGCTTTCCACCAGTGACTAAACAAAAACAAAAACAAAAACAAAAACAACCTATGCATATCCATATTAAACCTATACCTTCGGTAAGAAAATTGGGAGCTGAAGGTCATTTTGTTATGTTTTTTTTAAAGACTAGTTAAGGATTTTGCACACATGCGCACACAAGCACACGTATTTGTTTTAATTATTAATCCAGACAAACTAAAGATTATGTCGTCGCATTAAAGGCTAATGTGATGAAAAGATCAAGGCATTTAATGAAGTGCAAAATTCATCCTACTTATGAAAAGAAATGTTGCTCTCTCCAGGGAAAACTCTGTACAGAAAATGTGGCTTTTTAATGAAAGTTATTTGTGTCTGTTTAATATTCTGGACCATGAGAAAAGATTTGTTGTTGTGTTGTTTTGGCACATTAATAGCGTTGACTACAGTACCACTTCATTTTTTCTAACAACTTGAACTCTTTGGCAGACAGCCCCACACTGGAGTGGATTACCTCTTTAGTTTAATGGGATAGTTCATTAGAAGACTTGGTCATGTAATTGGGGAGTATAGTAGACAAATTTTAAGAACTTCCTAGCTGCTGTATGTTAGGCTCACCTCCTATCGAGTTCTGGGAACCCAGACCCACCACAGCCTCTGAGACACTCAGTTAATTACTCTCTGTCTCTGAGCAATTATTTCTGCCCCAGCTTTTTCCCCTCTGATGTTCAGAACTTCCTAATAAATGAGGAGGGAGAATTAAAAAATCAAAACCCCAAATGGGCAAAGATCACCTACATGAGACTTTTCAAGCTGCATGACAAAGAGCGAGCTAGCAAAGTGCATGTAGAAGAGAAATCACTCCAATGCAGGTGGCTATCCCTGACTGTCATGGCCCAAGTTGCATAATCAAAACCTACGAGGGAGCTTTTAGAGCAGGCTGCTTTATGGGGATTGCTCTTCCTGACACTTGTACGCATCTTGTAACACTTAGATGCAGCAATTAAGTGAGCAGTTTCATACCACACAGTATTTTACTTACAGTTGAGTACCCCTATATTCTCCTCCAATAAATTGCATAGAGCTAAATTTGGAATTCCTTGTCAGGGGGATTTGAAGAAGAGAAATGCATTACAGATGAATGCTTTCAATAGTTTCCACAGACTCAGTCTAAAGCTAAAAATCACCTGTTTGGTTTCCTAAGGTGGTTTTCCTTTACAGCTGAGATTTGCAACTGATGATATCCTTACAGTGAGTGACAGTATGAAGCTATTTATTTCCAGCAGTAAGGAAATTATATATTATATTACTCACAAGAGGCATTGTGTATTCTGCTCTTGGAAGTCCATATTCATCTGTTAGTTTGAAAGGAGCAAGGCTGTCAGAAGCTCTGAGCACTCCTGGCCCACTCTTGAAGTCAGTGCAAACCGGAGATTTACTTATAGTGATTGGAGTGTGATGACAGCTTGCTCTAAGGAAAACCTGAATTACAGGAGTCATGCAGCAGATGTGGAAAGCTTGGACAACCCCATCACAATTGTCTGTAAAGGAAAGAATGCTACAGGAGACTGACAATTACTTTTAAGTTCTAAAACGTTCCTAAACCTGGGATTTGTGGGAGTAAGGGAGGCATTTTCACCAAACCATTCTCACACCCTGTTATCTCAGAATAACTAAAGTTTCAGAAAACCATCCTATAAAATTGGTATGCTATTTTTTCAAGCCTCTGGATCAACCCAAGAAAATGTAGTTAGGATCACTAGGACTAGGTGGAAGTGGAGTATGGATGACAATCTCAAAAATACACATAAATAAATAAAAAAAAAATAGCAGTAGAAAGCTATCTATGCTGGTAGGAAATGATGTAGCCATACTGGGTCAGAGATATTGTGTCTCTGACTGTAGCAAAAAGTGGATTCCTTGGTTAGAGATGAAGAACTGGCAAACGTAGGATGCATCCTCCTGGTTGCCCTCCCAGACTCCAGCTATCCACAGCGGGACAGCCACAGGCCAAGCAGGACGCCTATGCACGTGGTAGACCCAGCACATCTCTGTCTCACCATCTTGCCCAGACCCGCTCACTCTGTTAGCATTGGTGATGGCCCCTGGCAAGGAGCTCCTCACATCACTCCTCGCTGTGTGAAGGAAAACCTCCTTTCCCTTGTTTTGTGTTTGACTTCTGCTAACGTCAGTTGACTCCCTCTAAATTGCTGGAAAAGACTGGAACTTATCAAGCTGCCTTTAGGGACAGGACCTGCAGCCTCCATTCTATCTCACCCCTGTCTACCTAACCAGCTAAGGAGGAAGAAGAACACAAACATGCAAAGAAGCAAAAAAAACAGCCTCAGAAAAGGTGGCAAAGGCACTGGAAAAAGATGCAAACACCTCCCTTTCAAAGTTGAGCTCTGCCTCTCAAAATAAGAAACTTTGGAGAAGTCACTGTGAGAAGGGTCATCCTGCAACCCCATGCTGCCAGGAGGCTCTGCAGGGCTGTGCACAGCCCCATTGCTGCCTCGGGACAGACACCTCTTGCTCCAGAACTTTTCTGTCTCCTAGGTACTTTTAACAGGAGAAAGGATGGACAGCTTCAGCAACGCTGAGGAGCAGAGCAGGTCCCCAAGCGAGACCAGAGCTGCTTGGTGCTGTGGATCCCACTGCCACTCTGCATTTCCAGACCTCTTGGTACTGGCTTGCTCTCTCCACCCCCAGAGAGGGTGATCAGGGCAGTTCTGTTGGTTTAAATCCACTGCAATTCATGTCACAGTGTAACTCAGATCCTGTAGGGCTCTAGGGGACTGCAGGGAGTCAAAACTGACTTACTGAGAAGTTTGCGGTGGCCATGGTGGTTCTGGGCGTACTCTTCACTAAGATGTTGTGAACAACACATGGCTTAACAGTAGGTGTTGCCGGTTTCCTAACTAGGAGCAGTGTAAATTCACTGTTTTATTTCAGATTAGAGGCTGTGGTTGTGGTATGGCTTGCTATGTACTTTCCAAACATCATGGTCTGTATGAGAGGCACGTAAAGTATAAGAAGTAATATATGTTCAGAGTCCAAGAGAGAAAATATTGATAGGATGTTTATATACACCCCCAACTTGATTCATTACAGCTGAGATGGCAGAAAAATGGGTCTTTAATATTTATATGTTAACAGCTGGTGTAAATTCACTGTCTAGAGCTAGCTCACATAGGAAATTTTGCCACAGCAGCTATGCCAGAGTAGCTTCCTTTGTGGACTCTATTCTGGAATAAAAAACCATTTTACTTCTTAATAATACTTGTACTCACAACACAGAAATACTGTTCTGGAATAAGGGAATGTTTATTCTGGAGTACCTGCCATATGGGGAATCACAGAGAATACTAACAGAATAGCATTTCTGTCCAGAATATTTAGTCTGGTTAATTTTCTTCCAAGGAGAGAGCCGTGTCACAAATACATAAAGGTAGAGCATACTTGATGCAGAAGGCACAGCTAGGGTAGGAACAGATTTAGAGCAGCTCAGAAAGAGATGTTTTTTAAAACAATCTGGAAAAAATGTATTCAAAATGTGGAAATTTTAGAACACCAGGAAAGTTTCCCAGTTATTACAGGAAACACAGGACTCTTAAAATGAGTGGCAAATACAAACATTCCCCAAAGCAAAGCAAAGCTGTCTATGTAGACAGTCGCTACTATCACTAGCACATTGACTGCTCATGTTGAGTACTGGAGTAGATTGTTTTTACTGTCTGTACAAAATGGATATGAGAGATTGTTGTATTTCAGGTATTTCATTAGAAGATATGGGACAACCTCATAACATGGCTGAGATGACCCAAGTCACAAACATTAGTCCAACACAAAACACTGGGGTTTTGGGAAAACATCTACCGAGGGTGGGCAGCAGCCTGTGGCCTGTCCTTGCTCTGCAAAAATAAACCTTCAATCGGATCAATTTACAGTTTGATGGACAGCCCAGATACTGTGCCTGCCAATAAAAATCAAACACACAGATCCAGCAGTTGAAAAGGTTAAGATGGAGGCTCCTCTTTACAGCTGCGCTTTCTCTTTTAATGCATTCCGTACAAAATCTTTTCATATGTTTGACAAAGAAAATGCCTACTTTAAACGATTAGGGTGCTGTCCTCAGGGGAAGTTGAAGATGTCCATGGTAACAAAATAAATAATGGAGAAAAAAATGGGTCACGCTTTATTACAGCATTTCACGATAACATGGATCTTTTTTTGAAGTGTTAAACTGTGTCTTTTATTTAGTAAAGCATACCAGCCAACACTGCAGCGTTTGGCAATCTGTAATTTATTAGCCGTGATCCTCTTTCATCAGAAGTCATTCTAAATAAAATTGTGGCTGTTTTTTATTTACTGCAACTCATAGTATTCAGTAAGAATGATGATCTGACAGGTGAAAGTGAACAGCAGAGAAAAGTGACAGACATTTTTCAAAAGAAGTGGAAAGTGAATCATGCAGTATGAGCAAGGGGTTCATTTTCTCCTTAGTGTCATTTACATTTGTGCATAACTTCATGGCCAAGACATGCTCCAATGGTGGCATGGCTGGCCCTAAACCCAGACATAATCTCAGGTAGCTGCGTTGGTTGAAATGTCAGCTAGCAATGCCAAACACACGGAGGGCTGGTGGGGCCCCATGTGTTCTGGAACTCACGTGCATCCCTGATATGGAAGCCCCTTTCCATCAGCGAGCTTCTCTCCCCATTGCAGAGCCTCTCTGAGGACTGGAGAACCTTCCAGAGGACAGCAATGAGCCTAAAACTAAGTTTCATGAGAGAAGTTCATAAGGTAGGTACAACAGGAGGTTCAAAGCTAAGCCAGAAATTGATGCCTTTGGGATTTTGCTGAACAGCTGAAGTTCTTCTCGTGAGAAGTAATAGCTGCTGCTGGGAGGATGGTAGAGGCTCAGTCTTCCTGAATCTATTTTTAATTAGCAGCTCACTTTCTGGGAAATGGACTCTCTGGGATATACCTTATGTAAGGGGCAGTGCACCCGTTGCAACATGCCTTGAGAATCACTTGAGGGAATGACCTCAGTTTTAAAATCTTCCCTTTATTTTTCTTACTGGCAGGCTACCAGTTTTTCTGAGGCACGTGGAAGGAGAAAATTATCACCAGCTTTGAGCTGATCACTCCTCAGAATGATCCCAGCCCGCAAGGGAGCCTCCTGACACTCAGAATAGTCTGTTACTCCTTGTATCCTGTGTGCAGATTTCTAAATGCCCTGCTGAAAAGTTGAGCCTGGCAAAGATTTAAGTACATCCTGCCTCCTTCATCTTTTCATCTGTGCTATCCATGGGAGATCTTGCATCTAAATTTCCCACTTGTCAAAAATCTACCCCATCAGACAGCTTTCTTCATCCTTTATGCTATATAGTGAGAATATGG